GGCGCGTGGAGAGTCCCCCGAGGCGTGCCTTATTTCCGGGTTTATTAACCCACCGGGGGCCGAGGCCACCTCTCTGGGTAGGAGGCCCTCTAACGAGGTGGGGGGGGGGAAGCAACGGGTTTGTCTCCAAGCTCCCCCCCTCCCCCCCCTCTGCTTCTCGAAGCTTGACCTGAGGCTGTTCTCCTTTGATTTATAGGCTAGGCTGACCCTGCTGCCGCGGAAAGGAAGCCCTATTCTGGGGAAGGGAGATCGCCAGAGACGGCTCGCTTCTCGCAGGCAGCCTCCGGCCTGGGCCTGCCACAGCGCTCGGCCGCGAACGGACGGAGAAGCGCGGCTGGCCCGGCTCGGAGGCCACTCGAGCACAGAGGTTCGCTGGCGTTGCCTGCAGGCCTTCTGAACCGCGTCCGCGGCCCTTCGCCTTGCCCTCCACAGCTGTTCCCCACAGCTCGATCCCACTGCTGGGGACAGAGCCAAGGCTTCCCTGAGCTGCGCGGCCTTTTGGGTCCCGCCGGGTGAAGGATCGCGGGAGGGCGCTGGGCAGCGCGGTCGGCTGAAACCCAGCGGACCTTCCTCCCTCTCGCCTTTCTGCCACGGCTGGCCCCTGCTTGGGACTCGACCCACTAGTTTCAACGGAAGCTCGCTTCCTAATCGTGAAAGAGTAGCGCTTCCTAACTACATTTGGAAGGCAGGTCGCCTTAGTGCGCGCGCGGCGGTGTATGTATGTATGTGTCAGTGTGCACGTGTGTATAGCCTGCGCTTGTATGTGTATGTATACGCCAGAGAGAGAATTTCAGAGCGAGAGTCAATTCCGAGACAGCTTCAAAGAGATAAATCTTTCCTACATATCAACTCTCCCACCCTCAATCTTTTATTCCTAAAATGATGTATCTTTTGTCTTCCCATCTTCTAATATTCCATGAAACCGACTTGAGAAATAATGATGTTGTAGTCAGGAGAATTGCCCACTGGTTGGCAGGCGAGGCGAGGCGGGCCATGGTCAACAGCACTGGAGTTTTCAATCCTGTCACCGTTTCCTTCTTTCGTGCTAGGTTGAAATAAGTGGGAAGTGGTGGAAGAAACGGAGATGTTGGAAACGGCTTGGCAGGCGGAATGCCAGCTCTTTTCTTTTAGCTTTTTAGGATTATCCGCAATAAACTCAATTTCCGCGCATAACGTGATTAGGCTCGAGTTGTTGCAAACTCTCTGTAGGTTTCCGCTCTTCCTTTGGATGCTGTAAGTTCAACCCTGCCGCAGACTAAAGCTTCCCTCCACCTATGCCAGGTGGACCTCCTAAACTCACTTGAACTGAACTGGAAAGAGTCAACCCAGGCATGAAACCACAGCCTCTGCAAGGGTATTAAAGAGATAGATATGTTTCCTTGGGACATTCCCCCCCAGATTGCTTATTAATAGAAAGAAGTATTTAGAGAATCCGGTTGATTCCTGCAGAGGAATCCCTGAAGAACCTCCCCAACTCTCCTTGTCCTACCTGTTAGTTTTGGAGGCCTTGCAAATAAAAAACAGCCCGTCGGTAATACATCCTCAGCAGGAAGGTAAACTATATTATGGGAAAATAACTTCCTGTCCCTTCCATTGAAGGAAGTGGGAATAGTACACATATACAGAGAGCAGTTACATGATTAAGCCCAGGTGGCCGTGGGTCGGGTAGACATTAAACTGAATTAAATTTAGCTTCTCTGAGCAAGAATTAAATTCACCTGAATTTTCTGGATAAGAGAGAAAGAAGGCCAGCCCAGCTTCCCACCAAGCTAATGAGAAACTACATGCCTTCTGCCCACCGCCATGTACCCAAGACTAAGTGACTGGATGAGATTTTAATTGTTTTAAAACATGCGTACATTTAAGAACATGCAAGTCTTTTTTCTTTTTTTTTAACGCAACCATGATCAAGTTTCCATCCGGGAGTATTAGCATTATTTTAAAGCTTCTTTAGGTTTCAAAGGAAAAGTGGAAAATGACGGATTTGTATAAAGGGGGGAATTGAAACCCCGAGGAGACCTGCTGGAAGTGGCCCTATGGATTGAATGGAGCTTGCTTATTTTTCCAGCGTTCGGGATGAATTACCCTGAGTCCTGGGGTGAGAGGGATAAACCTCGATCTCTAAAGTCGGGGCTTGCGGGCGTTAATGGGAGCACAGAATTCCACCCTCAGAGATTACCGGTTTTAGGTTGGGGAGCCCGGAGGAGAGTGGCGTGCTGGCTGGCGGGTGGCGGGATCTTCCTACCGGCACCCCCAGACCCCCAACCCCTCCCAACCCAGCAGCACAAAATATTTCCTTTCGGAAGGAGGGGATCCAGTTCGAGTTCAGGGATGGAATGGAACTCAAAGTGGGCGCTTCTGTTCAGAATTTCGCTCCTTGTCTCTCTCTCTCTCTCTCACTCGCAAACACCCCCTCGTTTAATTTTGGAAGAAGGGGAAATTTTACTGTTGTCGTTGGAAGTAGCAACTTTTGTCTACTTCAGATTGTCTTAGGAATGTCTCAGTCACTCGGCTGCTCCTGTCCCCTAAGGTGGCAGACTTCAGAATTGCTTTGCTTACTGTTATTTTCTTTTACTCTGTTTAAGCTGTTCACGTTTTTACCTAATTGGGCTTACCAATTGCATATTTTTAAAATTCTGAGTGGAATGGGCACCTTCATAATTTTAAAATTACGTAAATCGGTTTACTTTGAAGGATATCCCATCTCTAGTTCTAACCACTTCAGGAGATTGAGATCCGAGGTACCTAAGGTCACTACCAAAACCATTATATATAAGTAACCTCTACTGTAATGAAACAAATCCCACCGAAGCTATAATCTTACTCAAACGGGTTTATTTACTCCACAGAAAGCTTCACTGAAATCAACAGGACTCACTCTTGACGAAAATGGGCTTCTGCAGGTTGTGCAAGGATTCAGTCCTAAATGTCCTTGAAGTCATTTCCCACTAGTAATTTTTGAAGACTTATGGCGCAATTTAACCATCGCTATTTCGATGTAACAATAACGGAGACAGCGTGAGTGCCGCTATAAATCTCTAGTGAGGAAATGGCCGGATTCTCTGGGCGTGTCTTTTGCTGAACCGCACCGTCTACTTCAAAGGAAGCATTAGAGTCAGGTTGCACGTGTGGATGTGGTTGCAGATCCTTCCAAAACTCTGGTCCCCGATGCATTATTTCAGTTAAACAGCAGCCTCAAGCAAAATTAGTTTCACGGTGTCCCACCTGGAACGGGAATTTAGGAGGGAGGAGTGGAGTTCCGAAGGCGAAGCGAAGTCTCCTCTACTTTTATTTATTTAAAAAAGTCTAATTCGCCCATTCAGAAATGTTCTTAGCCGCCTCTGTGTCTCCCTCCCCCGCCAGATTTTTTATTTTTTTTAGTGCAGTCCCTGAACACCTCCAGCCCCCTCCCGAGCCGCAGCGCAAACCTAGTTCGAAGGAGGCGGCCTCGGAAGTAAATCCCATGGATCCCAAGGATCAGCCAAGTGGGATCCCGGGAGAAGCAGCCGAGTCTGTCGGACATCGCAGTTGCCAGGCCAAAGGCTTGGCTTAGAAATGCATTAACTTCCAAGGAAACGCGGGGAGGACTGGCTGTCAGGCTCACTCCTGCGGGAGATCTTCTCTGGGCCAGGCCGGGAGCCCGACTCGCAGGGCGCCTGTCCTTATTTCAAGGGCGAACCCATCTCCGCGCGTAGGTTTCCCATAGTTTCGCTCCAGGAGATGGCTCGCCTCGGAGCGGCTAGGGTGAGAGAGGAAAGCTGCGCCCCTCACTCCGCTTTGTCGTGTGTTTGCCCGCAGTGAGCGACAGCTCGCCCTATCACAGCCCCAAGGTGGAGGAGTGGAGCGGCCTGAGCAGAAGCGGCTTCACGGCCACGGCCCAGCACGTTGCGGTGAACGGGCTGGACAAGGGCTCCCTCGAGCACGAGACCAAGTACAGCCAGGTAAGGGGGCGACTGCCTGGGAGGACGGAGGGGGGCACGTCCTGGGCGGGGCCAGAAGAGGTGGGGGCGTGGAAAGAGGAGGGGAATCGCACGCCTGCTTCAGGGGCCTGCTTGAAGGAGCTTGCTTTCGAGTAGGTGCATCACATTTAGCCACCTACCTGGCTAAAAGACCTGTTTGTTTGTGTGCGTGTGCGTGTGTAGGGGAGGGGAGGATTCAAACCAGAGCCTCCGTTGATCTATTCTGGCCCTGGATGATCTCCCCAAATCATTCCCTAGGCCACTGAAATACACTGGTTGTGTTCACACAAAGTGTTCAACGCAATTGGGTAAAGACCTAGCAGGGGCCTTCCTTCAATATGGCAAGTTTAGTCAGTATTAACATTGGTAGGGGCTCTGATGGGGCTTGGGAAGTTGTGTGAACCTGGAAAATTCGAGAATTGGGTTAAGCATGTTGTGTGAATGCAGCCAGTAAAGCTAAAAGGGTCCGCCCAGCAGTCTGTCTGTAGTGGGATTTCGTGGATTGCTTTTCCCCCTCCCCACCCATCTGCCATTCTTTGCAGCAGCAGCAGCCCCACACTGTAGAACACAAGGTGCTTTAGCAAGTCTCTGGTTTTTCAGATGTCTTTCATCAGGCTTTGTTTTAAACCCATTTCTGCTAAGGAACAAGAGTTTAACTAGATTATGTGGTCCTGGCTCTAATCTGTGTTTGCAGTGCAGTTCTCAGAATCATGCCATTCGCTGTGTTTGCACAACATGCTGGCTAAACTGTGGTTGGCTACTTTGTGGCTGGTTACTGTGGTGGTTACTTTATGGCTCAATGTCTTGTACAAATCAAATGTGATTTAATTCAGTAAGTCATGGTTCAGCTGACCATGGCTTGGTGTGTTGTAGGAACTCCATCTCTGTTTCTACTCCCAGGTAAGCCTATGTAGCAGTTATCTGGGGATACATCTCCTCAGCTCCTTGGGACTTACTTCCCAAGTGACGCATTCCAAGGCAACAGCTTGCCTGGGGAAATGTATTAGGGGCTGAAATCAGAGGAAATACGCAGGAGATCATGCCTGCACACTTGTGGTTCTTCCTATGCCCATTTATGGCAAGTGGCAATAAACTGAATGTCGCTGGTGAAGCCACTTTCTGTATTCATTTGGATGCATGCACGACTGGGCTGGCTTTCAAAGAGTTAACCTAGGATCAGATATCTGGGCAAATGGAGGGACAATCCCCACATAATTAAGCGCAATCCCTGGTGTTGGGCTGAAGCTGCCAAGTGACATTTCATTCCTCCTGATGGAGGAACAGCATGCCTGGAATACCAGCACGTCCTCGCAATGGCACTTTGGAGGGGTTCAGATCTCAGGGTACTGATCTCCTTTGGCAGTGAAAAGGAGGCTCCGCGCCTCCACCTGGTAGGTTCCAAGTTGCTCTACCTTGAGAGTGAAGCTGTTCTGAGACCTTCAGCTGAGAGGGGAGTGCTGGAAAGATATGTTTCTTGAATTAGGAAACCCAGATCAGACCAGAAATGGGATGGCTTCCTGGGTCTCTGGCTAGAGGCCCACCAGCTTCTGGCACAGGTGGTCTGTGGCAGGACCATGTGACCAGAATTCTATCTTATTGCTCTCGGCTGTCCAGCCAGGCAGCTGCTTTTCCAAGAATACCCAAGGCCTGTCAATTGGGGGGCCTGCACAGGTCCTCGCCTGACACATTCAGGGAATCACTGAAGAGTCTGTTTAGGCCACCTGACCCAAATGCCTGCTCAGGGCAGGAATCCAGATTAAACCATCCATACAGATGGCTGCCTACCTTTTGCTTTAATACATTCAGTAAAGGGGAGCTCACCACCTCCCTGGGTAACTGGTTCCACCACAGGTCTGCTCTTAATGTTGGGATTTTGGTACCATTCAGTTGGAATCTGCCTTCTTGTAACTTAAATCAAATATTCGGTGTCCTGTATACTGGAGTAAAAGATTACAGGTCCTGGGTTGCTTCTATGTGACATTGTTTCAGATAGTTGAAGAAGGCTATCCTATCCCTTTCAGTTGTCTTTTTTCAAGGCTAAACATATTCAGCTCCTTTGGTTGTTGTTCAGAGGGCTCTGTTTCTGTTCCCCGATCATCTTCATTACTCTATATGAACTTATTCCAATTTCTCTGAATGTTCTTAGAATGTGGTGCATAACACTGGGCATAATACTAGAGGTGGGGTTTAAGTAGAGCTGAAGAGAATGGAACAATTACTTCCAATGATTTAGAAATTTTAATTATATTGATACCGCCTTAAATGATGTTAGCCTGTTTTGCAGCCATGTCAGACTGCTGGCTCATATTCAGTTTGTGATCAACTGCTATTCTAAGATGTTAGACACAAGTGCTATGGTAAAGTTGGGCATATTTCATTTTAAACCTGTGCATTTGATTTTTGTTTCCTAAGTGAAGAACTTCATACTTATATCTTAAATTAATTCTGCTACTCGCAGCCCAGTTTGCCCACCTTTCAGTGATATTTTGAATTTTATTTTTGCCTTCTAAGATATTCAATAGCCAGTCCAATTTTGTATCCTTTGTAGATTTGATAAACATTGCCTCTGTGTTGTTATCCAAAAAATTAATAGAAATATTGAAGAGTGGTAGACCTAGGACTGAGTCTTGTCAGTCACTACTTGACACCTCTTTTTAATTTGATCATCACACATAGAAACTGATGTTTAGCTAGCAATGTAACCACTTCATTGTCATGGCATATAGCCACACTTGACTAGCTTGCTAATCAGCATATTGTGGATTGATTTGTCAAATGTTTTCTGAATCAAGTTATATAATGTCTACAGCATTCCCACAATCTATCACAGAAGTTGCCCAATCAAAAGATCAGATTAGATGGCAAGATTTGTTCTTGACAAATCCATGCTTACTTCTGGTACTTATCACATTTTTTCTCAAGCTAGTTACAGATCTCTTTATGATCTGCTCTGCAGACTGTTAAGGAATTGATGTCAGACTGGTCTGTAGTTTGATGGACCTTCCTTTTCCTCCTTTTGAAGATAGGAATAACAGTTGCTATCGATTAATTATCTGGCACTTCATTAGGTCTCCAAGCTTTTTCAAAGATCATATAGAAAGATTCAGCCAGATCATCAGCTAGTTTCTTCAATACTCTGAAATGCAGTTCATCTGGTCCTAAAGATTTAAATGAGGTTTTTCCAGTCCCTATTGAGCATCACTCCTCCAAAGCAGGCTTTATTTGTGTGGTGGGGTGGAGTGAGGTTTAAGGAATGAAATGGTCCCTTAAAGTTCTAGTATGCTCAATTTTGCCCTTTAAAATCCCTCCAACTCTCAACCCAAACGCAAAATGAACAGAAAAACCCAAGGTGAATTTTTTGGTCCTCTTCATTCTGAGGGTGCTTTGGGAGTATCAGAGGGTGCAGCTTGCTGCTATGTACTTTCTCCATCCTCCCTGTTCTACCCCCACCCCACCCCACCCCATCCTTCTAAGATGGTCTGTTTTCCCAAAGTTTCTTTTGGTCACACCTTTCTTGAGGTCTTAATGCAAATGATTTCACTTGCCTCAAATGTCTGCTGTTTTTGGAAGCCACTTCTGCTCATTTCACTGCACTGTAGTGGAATGATGGTACTGCATATATATTCGGTCTACGGCAGAGTCAATTCCTATCCTGGCATCCGGCTTTTAGGAGGGGGTTGCATAGTTAAGGGACAGTGCTCCAGAGAGTGCTGTGTTGGACATTGGTGTGTTTAGCTAGTCTTTCAATGACAGATCCTGCTCCCAAAATGATAAAAATCCATCACTGGCAGAGAACTTTGCTTCTCCTTTCTTTTTGTCAATCTTTTATTAGCAGTGCTCCTGCTTTCCCTCTAGCAAATGGAGTAAATTTTATTCCATTCTTTTGTGATAAAGAGAGAGGGAAAATTGAACAAGGAAGCTCTCTTACCATAGCAAAATGCTTTTCCCTCATTCCATTCCACTGTAGACCAAATGACATGATGATCCTTAGGCATCAGCCAATGAAAACAGTACAGTTGGTTGAAATGGGAGGAAGATGCTGCCATTTCCCTCCCATTTCTCATACTAGCTTATTCAAATGTCTGTGCTGTGGGAAGCTTCCTTTTTAACAAGGGGGTACCAAAACACTGATGTGAAAGAATAGGTCTGCTGAATATATTGAGGCTACAATCTTTTATAGGCAAGCACCCCTAAGCAAACATCCCAAAATAACACGGGGCATATTTTGGGGAATCATACAAATGATGGTACTGTTAAGCCCCTATTTCACATGCCTATCAATATCACTGGTATTTTAAGATGCATAATTTTGGCAGCCGAGCATGTGTGAATGGAGACTTGTGGAGATAAAGGCTATATTCACTAGCTATCTCACAAGGTACCGAAGTCTCCTTAGGACCTCGAATGTTTGTCTTGTTTGTGTCACAGAATGTAGTCATTCATACAAGAAAGAAAGAAAGAAAGAAAGAGAGAGAGAGAGAGAGAGAGAGAGAGAGAGAGAGAGAA